TAAACAATGGAACAGAGTAGAGAACTCAGAGATAGCTATTTTATACATATGAGAAATTTGTATGTGGTAAAGTACTCATTGTTCAGTGGACTGTGTTGAAAAAACTGGCTCCCAATGTGGAGAAGAATAAAACGGATTCCCTACTTCCATCATATACAAAAATGCATTAAAGACCTGACTGTGAAAGGTAAAAACCAAAGAATAAATAGAAGACAAGATAGGAGAATATCTTTGTAACCTAGGGATGGAGAGAGGCTTTTAAAAAAAAGTCTTGTAAAGGGCAAATGATGCACTGATGACATTCAAATTAAGTTTTCTGTTCAAAGAAGGCCAAATATACGAAGTGAATAGATCTGTATTGGGAGAAGAGTTTGTTATGTCTATAACCAAAAACGGAGTAATATCTAAAACACACAGGGAACTCTTACAAGTCAACAACAGAAAAAGGCCGTAGCCCTCTAGAAAAATGGGCAACTGATGTAAGTAGTCAATTCATACAAGGGAGAAATCCAAGTGGCTATAAGTGCATGAAGAAAAATGCAAATTAAAACCATAATGAGATACCATTTTAAACTTTCAAAGGCTGGCAAAGTCAGAGCTGGCTAATACCAAGTGTGGGTGGGGAAGTAAGGAAACAGAAAAAGCTTTATTCACTGATGTAAGACAGTAGATTAATGCTGTCTTTCTGGAGAGCAATCAGGCAATATTTAGTAAATATTGATTCACTTACCCCTATGACCCAGTGGACCTACTCCTGGGTAACTACTCCAAAAATATTCTCAAACAGTACCATTACAATGATTCAGGCAAAGCCGTTTAGTGCTGTGATGTCTGTAGGATGGGCACTCGGAGACAGTTGAGGTGCCCATCACTGGAGGATGGATAAGTAAAATGTGATGGGTCACACTCCAGAATGCCACGGTAGAAGCAAGGGCTACACACAGCTACACTGACAGATTGCAAGACCATCGTGCTGAGTAAAAAAGTAAGAAAGAGAACTATTCCTGTAAAATAAAAATATTTGTACACAGTAAGCAGCACTTCCTGTTTCATAAACATGCATATGTATTCAGAAATATACATCCAACATCATAGCTGTGACCTATGACACGGGTAGCAGGGATGGCGATGAGTGTTTGGTGGGGAGGGAAGGAGAATATTGAGGGTGGGATCTCACACACACACACACACACACACACACACACACACACACACACACAAACTCATATGGAGCAATGATCATGTGTATTGGATTGAGGAATATGATGAATAGAAACCTTTTTGCCTGAGATACCAAAAGTCTTCCTTCTCCTGAGGAGATTTGTGTTTTAAAGAATGCATTCCCAGTCATGGATATTCAAGCATCAGCCAAAGAGTTAGGAAGTAGTTTTATTCATGCAGTCAAGGAATATGTATTTTGCTGCTATATGCCAGGCACTGTTCTAGGTGCTAGGGATAACATAGTGAATGAGACAGTTAAAGCCTACCTCCTGCTTGGGGATTCTTGTTAGCCTTTCCTGGCATTAGACCAGGTAAATTGTTGCATCTATCTCAGATCAACCATGGGCACAGTCTGTCTGGGTCCTGCGAGGATGGTGCCAGGGTTACCCTTCATCTATGGTGGCTTTGGGAGACACTTGGAAATTCACAAGGAAACCACTAAAGAGAAGGCCTGCTATGATCTGAAATTGTTTAGCACACGTATGTCTCCAGTTGTTTTTTCACAGGAGCAGCTTTATGCTATATCCATGATCTCTCTTTTGGGACTTCTGGTATGACTGTTCAGAAATCCACTCACGGCCCCAGAGCGGGTTTTCACTTTAGTGAGTTCTAGTCAAGATCACTAAAACCTGAGATCTTGGCTCGATTAACACTATCTTATTAATAGTTGGTTCATCAGGGGCATGTATTGAGCAAGAGGCATACTGTTGCTGTGAAAGACTACTTTGCACTTTTCTGGCATTCTATTTTTATTTCACAGATATTTATTTCCTATTCAGGAACAATAATGAAACTGGTAAGTAGGAATGGATCAAACTCCAACTTTAGAAGTATTATGAATGCAGTCCCCAAATTACCTCCATGCATGTTCCCCAAGATAACAAATTATTTATCTATTCATTCAACGTGCTTTTATTGAATCCTTCCTGCATATGTAGTACTTCTCTACGTGCTAGAATTACAAAGATGAAAGAGACAGAGACTCTTCCTACAAAAGCTTATAATTCAATGATGTTAAAACTTATTTTTCCATGGGAACAAAATTGTGTGTGCTTGTCAGGTTCCCAGGCAAAGCAACAAAAGCCTATTTAATCCATAGAATAGCTTAAATCTAGTGCTAATATCATTATACAGAGTTCTGGACAAAAATGGCCATAGCTCATATATTAGAAAATTGGGGCCAGGCACAGTGGCTCATGCTCATAATCCCAGCACTTTGGGAGGTTTAGGCAGGAGGATCACTTGAGGCCAGGAGTTTGAGACCAGTCTAGGCAACATAGTGAGACTCCCCATTTCTACAAAAATTGAAAAAAAATTAGCCCTGCTTGGTGGCACATGCCTGTACTCCTACCTTGAGTCCAGGAGTTCTAGCCTGGGCATCAGAGCAAGACCCTGTCTCAAAAAAAAAAAAAAAAAAGAAAATTGGATAAGGAAGAGTTGGAAGAGTTTCCTCATCTTTTCTTGGGCTTATGAACAACCCCAAGTAAATGTTTGAAATAGGTCATATTTTTTAATTTAGAAAAAATTTCTTTATTTTTAATTGGCAAATAAAAATCACATATATAGTATTTATGTTGTACAACATGATCTTTAAAAATTTATTTATTTATTTATTTAATTGATATTGTATTTTAATACTACATATTTATAGAGTTCAGTTTGTTGTTTTGATACATATCAGTGTAGTTAGTGTATCCATCATCTCATGCATTTATCATTTCTTTGAAAGATTTATCTTTCTTTGTAATATTCAAAAACCTGTCTTCTAGCTACTTTGTAATATGCAATATTTTATTATTAACTATAGTCACCCTACCATGCAACAGAACACCAACATTTATTCCTTCTATCCAATTATAACTTTGTACCCATTGACCAACCACCCTCTTCTCATCCTCTTCTCCCTCCTCACCTCCCCTGTCTCCAGTAACCACTATTCTCTCTGCTCCTATGATAATCCATTTTTTATTTTTTTGATTCCACATATGAGTGAGATCATGTGGTATTAGTCTTTCTATGTCTGGCTTATATCACTCAACATGATGTCCTCTAGGTTCATCCATGTCATCGCAAATGACAGGATTTCCTTCTTTTTTATGCCTGAATAGTATTCTATTGTGTATACAGATCACATCTTGTTTATCCATGCATCCATCCAGTGTTGGACACTTAGGTAGATTTCATATATGTTTTGATGTATGCATATATTGTAGAATGGCAAAATCAGGCGAATTAATATATTCATTACCTCACATACTTATTTTTTGTGGTGAGGATGGTTAAAATGTATGCTCTTAGCAATTTTTAAGTATACAATATATTGTTATTAACTATAGTCACTACGATGTACGATAGATCTCTTGAACTTATTCTTCCTGAGAGTTTGTGTCCTTTGACTAACATTTACCCAACCCCCACCTCCCACCCCCTCACAGCCACCATTCTACTCTTTGCTTCATTCAGTGAGTTCATTTTTTTAGATTCCACATATAAGTGTGATTATGCGGTTTTATTTACTCTCTCTAATCTCCTCTTTTGCACCTTTCTCCATCTTCCCAAATTCTCAGCATCCTCACACAGTTCCGATCCTTTACTGTGGCACCTCTCTTATGTCTGTGCCATCTCACAAAATGGTTCAGATTCTATGATTATTCACATCCCTTCTCCCAGTTCCTCAACACTCCTGAACTTAACTAGCTGTGAGGAGAAAAATCTGCTCAAACAAATTTGCACTAATTCGCATTCCTTCCCCCAGAAATAGATATTAGCATTTTGATAGTTGCACTTGCTCTCTGCTCCCACTCTTTGGAAGGGTTTCCAGTTTAGTTTTTAGGTGTTTTTAAAAGATTCAAGGCATTTTTAATAATTTAAAGTCATAGAGCCACTGTATCTCTAGATTCTCTTCTTCAGATATCCATATGTATCATAAAATTGTTAGAAAATTATTTGGAAATATTATTTTGAGAGTTTTATGTTGTTTAGAATTAGATAAAATTTCAAGATGAATTACTGTCTTCACAGAATTATTTCACCTAAAAAAAATCTTGCATGTTAAGAAAAATGGTGATCAGGTTGTTCATCATTAGTATTTCCAAACTTAAATTGATATTCATTATAGTTCAATGAACAAAAATTTTAAAATATGTTTGCTTCTATCACCATTATTATGACCACTTAAGAATAGTCCCAGAATGGGAAGGCAACAGGAATTAGATTAGCCAAGACTGTTATTTTTAAAACATAAGTCTCGTTTAGGATTCAGCATGTTTTAAAAAATGAGATTGAAACTATTTTAAAAAATAGAATGATCTCTAAGCCATAAATACTATTTATTTTAAAACAGAAGATATAGGACAAGGGTCTTTTATTTCTGATCACCTCTCATGAGATAAGAATCTATGAAGGTGGTAGGAAAATGAGTCCGTGACCAAAATGCTTACTCAGTTACTATAGGAGATCAAAGAATATTATACCAAATCTGGACTCTACTAAGACAAACCAATTGTTTTCTTTGAAAAATATGTAGGGTTTAGAAGCTTTCTGGGATTTATCTGTAAAAACACCCTCTCGGCCCTAATAGTGACGTTTTAGGAAAACGATGCATCTCAAGGTGGGAAGGACAGGAGGTGGTGCTTTGTGGGCTCCCGTGGTGGTTAGGTAGTTCTCAGAAGATAGTACTGGAAATTAGATAATTGCTGATGTCATATTTTTCACAATAAAAAAAAAATTGGTGTCCTGGGGGCTATAAAAGCAGCAGCTTCTATCTTTCCCATCACAAGCAGAATCATCCGAACAGGTAAGTGTTTCAGCAAACTTGGTACAATTAGTTTGGTGTGATACTTCTCGACTAATTTTTTTCCCTCATATTGTCTTTGCCTCTTGTTTTCTTGATACCAGATTCTCCTGTCTCGGTTGCCAATTGCTCGAGTTAGAGTTGTTTGCAATGGCCGTCCTGCAGAAATCTGTGAGCTCCCTCCTCCTAGGGACTCTGGCCGCCAGCTGCCTCCTTCTCACGGCCCTGTCGGTGCACGGAGGAGCAGCCGTGCCCATCAGCTCCCACTGCAGGCTTGACAAGTCCAACTTCCAGCAGCCTTATATCACCAACCGCACCTTCATGCTGGCTAAGGAGGTAGGCATCTCAATCTCATTGCATCTACTTGTTCTTAAACTTTTCTTCAGAGCACTTCTAAGATCTTTAGGAACCCATCATTTATCCCCACAGGTGGATAAATCTTCTGTGTCTCTTCAGAGACTCATTGGAGATTGGTTTTTTACCAAAACTCCTTTCTTCCATTTTGGCCTTTATGATACATATGTTGAGTTTTATCAAAGAGCAGCCAGCCATTCAGTAGCCCATCTGATTATTAATTTTTTTCTTTCCTCCTCTGTGCATTATTCTAAACTCATGCATGCATCTGAATTCTGTCTTTGGTCTTTACGAGGTTGCTCTGGGGAGAGGGGCTGGAGTACATCTCCACTTACAATCTTTGCTTCTATCTCCTTGATGTCCAGCCACTTAGTCTTTTCTTCTGTTCCAGGCGAGTTTGGCAGATAACAACACAGACGTCCGTCTCATTGGGGAGAAACTGTTCCGCGGAGTCAGTGTAAGCTATAGTCGTGATGAGCAAGGCAGCGTGCCATTCGTGGTTCCTTGGAGTGCTGATAGGTTTAGGTCTTCTGGAGGTCCCCTAATACGACCCCTGCTGTTTCCCTTCCACCTGCAGATGAGAGAGCGCTGCTATCTGATGAAGCAGGTGCTGAACTTTACCGTTGAAGAAGTGCTGCTCCCCCAGTCTGACAGGTTCCAGCCCTATATGCAGGAGGTGGTGCCCTTCCTGGCTAGGCTCAGCAACAAACTAAGCCCATGCGTAAGTTCTTCTCTCGGCCCATGCCCACCCACCCTAATCCCCTCCTTCTTCCCTTGAGATCCCGTTCCCCCAACCTTCACTTCTTCCCCGTACACCTATACTGGCCAGAGACACTGAAGTGCCTCTGCAACTCTATTATTGGGAGGCATTTGGAGTCTCAGAGTGTTGGTTTTTGCTTTAGTTGAGTCACATCTTGAGTTCATGGTGGTGAATGGGGTCTGGAAGTCAAGTGTACAGAAGCCTCATTTGTTGTTCCTAGAAAAAAAAAGCAACTCAGGTTATGTAGGATGAGAAAGATGTTGGGAGCTGTAAGGAAAAATGCCTCACTGTGGAGATGGTTGAGAGGAGAGAAAGACTAAGAGAGAAAAGTGAAAGAGAAAGAAGGAAATGGGAAGGGTTAATGTCAGTGGTGGGTGGGAAAAGACTGCTGCTGCTTTGATGTCATGGGAAGTGACAGAATCGGAGGTGTGTGAAGTCAATGCCTCTGAATATTTGAAACCATGAGGAAAGGTTGGAGTGGAGCGAGGCACAGTGGAAGCGACCTAGTATTTGCTGGGGCTGAGGAGGGTTTACTTTTCAAGTGAGGGGTTTTAGGTATGTTTCTTGTTCCGAGCAAGCAATTTCGATGAGGGTTTTATTCCTGACAGAATTTGCATAAACCACTCTACTCTTTCCACAAGCGCAGACCTCAGTAGGATTTCTCAAAGATGAAGCGAGGTCCCCTATAAGGGAAGTGACTGGATTTTGGTGTCCCAGGGAATGCAAGAGCTCGGGAAATCTAGGTCACTGGTGAAATCTAGGTCATTGTGGGCAAAATTACTAAGAGCTTTAATTTCAGGTGCATCGTAACATAACTCAGATGGGCACTGAGGTTCATGAAGCTTCAGCACAACAACGTTAAAATAGTTACTCTTGTTTTTATGTTGTAGCACATCGAGGGTGATGACCAGCATATCCAGAGGAATGTGCAACAGCTGAAAGACACAGTGGAAAAGGTATACTGATAACTATCAAATAAATATCAATGCTAAGTCATTCAATAGGGAGACAAATGTTTTTCTTTCCTTTCCTTTATTTTTATTCCTCCCACTTTGTGATGTTTCACTTGATTCTCCTATCATTGGGTTGATTACTTAGGTGCATGCGTATATAGATGTGTCTACATATCTATAAATCAATTTCCAAATTTTGCAAATCATAGAATTCTAGAACTGGCTGGGATCTTAGGTCATCTAGTCACATTACCCCACCATCTGGGGATGGTCGGTGGCAGAGCCAGGGCTAGAACGCAGGTCTCCTGGATCCCAGGCCTCCACTTTTTCTAGCAGTAATACATATTAGTTTTGGTATTATTAATTATTAGGCAAATTTCAGATTCTTATTGACTCATGTTAATCTGAAGAAGCACTTGTTCAAAAACAGAAAAGTGCCTGGAGACAAATTTATTTGAACTGAGTTTTGAAGCCTTTAATTTGATGCTTTAAAACTTGGGGAAATAAACTCAGAGCAACAACAAAAGAGCCAGACTTGCATATAGGGTGAACCTCTGGAATGACTGATACTTATCTTTAATTATCATGATATAATACCCAACGGCTATTGAATTTAGTTTAAGAGCAAGAGCAGACAATCCCTGATTTCTTTTACCCAGTGTCAAATGGAGTGAAAATACTAATAATGGATTTACTATAGTGAAGCAGAGTCTGAATTGTTAATCCTCTTCTCTTCCTTTCTCCCTTCATCTTCCTCTCTAATTTCCTCCTTCTCTCCCTCAACAAATCCGTAGTGGGCATCTGTTTATTGTGAACTAGGGCACATTTCTACGGTGAATGATACCATTATGTGGCCTATTTGGTGGAAAGAACAACAGTGGAAGGCTCAGACTAGCAATTGTGACTCAGCCCAAAACCAGAGGAGTGATTAACAGCAGTGAAAGTGATGCTCTTGCAGGCAGGTGCAATGAAATACTTAGACACAAAGGCTCTCGTTGAAGGAATTTCAGTAATGAGCTTAACCTCATTTCCCCCTTTTTTTAAATCTTGATTTTTTAAAAAGTGTTTCTTCCTTGGCATAATTTAATGAACATGACTGTTTCTTCCTTTGATAATTGAAGGCTTTGGATTTTTTTTTTTATTGTGAAGCTCAATTTCCTTGTTATAGAACTCTTACCTAGAGGCGGAGGGCTGGATGTTAGCATGCCATAGACAAGATGTGCTTTGCACTTCTTGTTTAAAAGATCCCTGATGTCAGCTTACTTTGTTGTCTTTAGAAAAGTAAAGTGTGAGAGAGAAAAATCTCATGATGATTTGTGTGGGAAAACAGAGATTTTTGAAGTCTTTAATCCATGTTGAGAGAATCGACTTTCACATTTGCCATGGGTTGCCACGTGGAAGAGTGATGATGCTTTTTTCTCTGTAGCACAGGCAAGAAAGGAATGTTATTCAGAGGCAGCTCCACAGGAGGAAAAATTGGCCAGAGCTGTCTGAAGTGGGAGGGCAGTCTTGGGAGGTGCTAGTGTCCTGTGGCTGGAGGCAAAGCAGAGGGCCGGCTGTAGTAGAATGCACGACAGACAGTAGCGCAACATAAGCCTTAAAATTCTTTATAGTCTTGGGAATTGTTGAGAGATATAAAAAACATCTTTTCAGCGTTATGTCAAGGGAAGTATGGAAAGGTGGGAGCGTGGAAGAAAGCAGGAAGAGAAAGGAAAACAAAGTACTGTATGGAAGACGATGATGACAGGATTTTTCTTGAAATAATGCCAATATAATAGATTAGATGAATTTCAGTGGGCGATGCTTTGGGCTTGAATGTGGGTTTTCTCTCCCATTGAGTTTGAGAGCCTCCTCTGTAAACTACTCGGAAGGAGAAGAAAATATGGATGTTGGGACTTTATCTGCCTTTCTTTTAATTAAAGCACGGGGAAAGGACTTATTTGGTATTTTTCTCACAAAAGGGACAATTTGGGTTTTTCCTCTTTTGTTGAGAAGGTGGTAACAGAAAAAGCCCCAATGTATTGGTAATTATATGGTTCAAGGCTATATGAGCTGAGTTGCAGTAAATAATTGGTCATAGTCATGGGGCTATGAAGCCCTAATGGGTGGCACTTGGGACCCCCCCCAGATCCTAGCATTGCTTCAATCTGCTAGCTCTGGTTAGGAAGGGTGGTCAGCACTCTGCCCAGCTGTTAAATAGCTTCATTAGTGTGAGGTACACTGGAGAATGATGCCTGCTGGTGCCCAGATAGCCATCATTTTAAGGTCTTTGGCAAAATCATATTATACTCTTGCTAAAAGGATATTATTAATCTTTCACAAGTGGCTAAAATTGGGTTTCTCTCTCTAGCAACCTGATTATGCCATTTCTATTTTTTAGAAAACACATTATAAATGCTCAATACTTTTGTGTCCTTATTTTCACAGCTTGGAGAGAGTGGAGAGATCAAAGCAATTGGAGAACTGGATTTGCTGTTTATGGCCCTGAGAAATGCCTGCATTTGACCAGAGCATAGCTGGAAAATGAATAACTAAACCTTCTTGCCTGTTAGAAATCACAATAAGATCCCCAAAGGGTTTTTTTACCAAAAGGAAAATGGGAAGCCAAACTCCACCATCATGGGTGGATTCCAAATGAACCCCTGCTTAACTTAAAAAGGAAACCAATGTAACTTCTGTTCATGAGACCAGAAGGTAGACCTTCTAAGTACAGAGATATTTATAACATTGTATTGTACCTAGTGTTCTATGCACAGAAAATAATTTATTTTTCAAGCAATTGTCTATTTCCATAAAAAAGATTACTTCCCATTCCTTTTGGGAAAAAAACCCTAAATAACTTCATGCTTTTATAATCAATACCTTATATTTATAAATTTATTTATTGTTATAAGTACACATTTTATTTATGCTATTTTATTAATATAGATTTATTTATAGAAAGATTATTTGATATTGCTACTTGAGTATAAGTCTAATGTTAATATTTATAACAGTAATTATGGAGCTATAACATGTTTATGTGACCTCAATAAACACTTGAATATCCTAAGTCTTGTGACTTTGTGATTTTTCTCCTTCAATATCATTATCATCATCATCATTGTCATGTACTCATTCCCATGACTTTATTCCTGACTCTAAGGCAATGAGGTAGCTATTAGTATTATTCTATTTTATAGATGAGAAAACTGAATTAGAGAAATGTTAAGAGACCTTTTATAGCTATAAGTAGTTGACCACTATGGAGTCAAGCCTATCTGATTTCAAGGCTCTCTGCTATGTTGCCTATACTGATTTATTAGATTGATTCAGCACGCATGTAATTCTGAAAGAAAAAAAGGTAAGAAATTGAAAAGAATCCATCCGCATCATTAACAGCTTATGAATCAAAGAAAGGAGAATATTTCTGGGGAGAAATACATGTGGCCTCTCTATTGCTATACATGAACTGTTTTAGCTTTAGTTCAAGCCTATTAGAAAGTGCATCCTCCAGTCTTCCTGTAAGTAAGGCAATAAAATATCAGGGAAGCTGCATTTCAGGAGTCTTCCCAATGAGTGGAGTTTAGCACTGATAGAAAAGTCTTGTAGGTGGAAGATGGCAAAATATGAAACACACACACATACATACACATACCGAGGGAAAGTTGTATGTCTTTAAAATCTGTACAGTGCTACAGAGAAGAGAGAGCAGAGGTAGAGATAAAGATTGGATTTGTTCTACTGAGAAACATGAACACAGGATGCCAGCACTGAAGAGCCATTCCTTGAGGGGAAGGGATTTTAAGAGATTGTGAAGGTCTTTTCAAAGTCAATGATTAGAAGAAGTCAGTGGTCAGCTGTTTAAAGCGTTTCCTTCTCCAAATAATCAGAAACGATGGGTTTATTCTGCAGGTCACTCACCAGCTGTTTGGCAAGTTCCTACAGGATTAGGTCCACCCTGGTGGTGAGAGGTGAGAACATACGTGAAACTGCAGGTTCACTCATGGATAAAGTGGAGTTGATATTATACTCTTAGGTTTGGTCTCTAAGTGCCGAGAGGTACCAATGTTGAGCTCCAGGGATGATAGAATTATTGTTTCTGGGATTAGCTGGGGTTTAGGACTCTTTCCTGTCTTCTTCCAAATGTGTCTCAATGTAATGACTTAAGCAAAATTTGATATTGTACTTGTTTTTGGCCAATCTTCTAGAAATTGAGCCATAACGTGCCAGATTACCCCTAAAATTGGAAGGTTTTTCTAAGAGACATTATAACTTTTCCATCATGTCAGATATATTTCAGAAGCAGCTAGAGTCAACCTTGGGTTCTTCTTCCCCAGCCCTGCACACTGAATGTGTCAGAAATCCTATCTGCTTTAACTCCAAAATATTGGCTGAATCTGTTCACTTCTCATTCCCTCAATGGCTAAAGCCGACCCAAACCACTGTCCTCTTTCCTCAGAATTACCATAATATTGTAGTTTCGAAACATCCTCCTACTGTCTGTTTTTAACTCAGGAGCTGAAGTTAACTTAAAAATCAAAAGCATTAGGTTGGGCACTTCCCTGCTTCCCCCAATGGCTTCCTTCACATTGAGAATGAAGCTGGAAGCTTCATCACAGTTCTGCCTCCTGCCCAGACTCCCAGATGGCCCTTCCCTGCGCTGATGCAGCCACAGGCCTCCTGGCTGGGCCGCCCACACGCCAGCCTTGCTCCTGCCTCGGAGCCTTTGCACTTGCTGTTCCCTATGCCCAGAGCAATCTTCTCGCAAGTATTCCATGGTCATTCCCTCCCTTCAGTCGGGTCCCTGTCAGATGTTACTGCCTCAGAAAGACCTACCCTGGCCACCCTGTCAAATGCAGCCCCCTTACTGCCCTCCACACCTTCCCCTCTCCCTCTCCCCCTACCACTTCATTTTTCTTTGTTGTACTTTCCACACATAAGGCCGTTAATTATTTACTTTGGCCATTGACTTAATTTTCAGTGTGTACTTACTGGGTGTTAACTTCATGCCGGGGGACATGGTGGTACATGCCACGCAGACAGAGCCTCTGGCCTCACGGAACTCACATTCTCACGGAAACAGAACAGAGGACACACAGCATAGTAACAGGTGCCGACAAGTGAAGAGAAACAAAGGAGGGCCTGAGTGGAACTGGATGGGGGTTATTCAGGTAAGGAGACCAGGGAAGGCCTCTGGGAGGAGCAGATACCTGACTGGAGTGAGGGCGTGAGGCGTGTGAATACTTGGGGATACTGCCCTGAAACGAGGCAAGTTTGGGGTGTTCAAGAGGCAGCGGGGAGCTTGGGACTGGAGCAGGTAGGGTCAGGGGCAAAGCTGAAGGTGAGCCAGAGAGCTGGCTGGGACCAGGCATGGGGGCTTTGCAGGCCAGAGCGGGACTTGGGATCCTGTTCTAGGCTGAGGAGAAGCCACTGCAGGGTTTGGAGCATGGGAGAGACTTGATATGGCTTGAGTTTTATACAGCTCACTCTGGCTGAGGGTGGAGAGTAGATCCAGGAGGGGTAAGGGCAGAAGCAAGGCCAGGGTGAGGGGCGAGGGCCTAGCAAAGAGGTGATGGTTGTGCTGGAGTGGATGGGAGCAGAGCCAGGGCAGCTGCGTGTGACTGTCACAGAGGTGCCCCACGTGGGTTGCCCGGGTAAGAGGAGTTACGTATGGATCATACAGAACAGCAAGAGGAATCATTTGGTTTTTCTCCTGGTTCTCCATTTGTACTATATTATTTCCTAGCAGAAGGTGCTTCCTATAGGAATTGGAGTAAAGACAGGAGGCTTCCTTCTGAAGGGAGGTTAAGATTTGAAGATTTGAATGAAGACACATCAGATAAGGAACATGACACGACACCAATGGTTGAAGGCTGAGGTCTTCTTATCTCAGAGGCAACGACAGCCACAGTGAATTTGTCTTTAACATCTATTTTCAAGGAATGTTTATTATTGAGAAAACAGGTGGAGGAGACCATCAAGAGGAACCGGTACCACTGCTGCACCAGGAGGGTTGGGGGGACTGTAACCGGCCCAAGGGGACCGCTGGGCTCTCTTACAATGCCCGCTGGCTCAGGGCTCTTGTCAGTGGAAAACCGCATCGACTCAGAGGGGCAGGGTCATCAAGCACTCCATGTCTGTGGGAACGACGGTTTAAGTCCCTTACCAGGTAAGGGACTTCATCCGACTGAGATGCAGGCAGAGGATGGGGGGCGGGGGAGGAGATGGAAGGGATGGTGGAAAAGGAAGACCATGATTCTTAGCTTAGGACTTGTGAACGGCTACAGAAGTAGGAATTGCAGCAGATCTGATTTCTGTCCATTAGTCGTTTGTCCTCTCTTCTCCCCTCCTGCCCCTTGTATGAAGTGTGCTTGTGGTGGCTGATAGTTCAGCTTCCAGGTGGGAACACAAACCTGTCATATGGCAGCTGATGAGATGCTATGTGTTTCCTTCACTGGGGACACACATTTTCACCTGGACAAACACAAGAGTGGATGCTGAGGACAAAAGGGATGGAGGCTGCCCATACGGCCCTCCAGACCCATGCTCTGTCCTTTCCCACTCTACTGTGTGCCCAGAGAGGCTGACATACAACATACATGGATTGCCTCATACACATACTTGCTCTCTGGCTTTTTTTTTTTTTTTTGAGACACACTCTCACTCTGTTGCCCAGGCTAGAGTGCTGTGGCGTCAGCCTAGCTCACAGCAACCTCAAATTCCGGGGCTCAAGCGATTCTCCTGCCTCAGCTTCCTGACTATCTGGGACTACAGGTGCACACCACCACACTTGGCTAATTTTTTTAAATTTTATTTTTAGTTGCCCAGCTAATTTTTTCTGTTTTTAGTAGAGATAGGGTCTTGCTCCTGCTCAGCCCGATCTCAAAACCCTGACCTCAAGCGATCCTCCCACCTCGGCCTCCCAGAGTTGCTCTTCGGCTTTTGATAGCATTTGGCTAATGGGAGAAATTAGCTGGAAATTGAAGGATGGCAGGAGAATAAGGTCAGAGTGTTTGTTCCCAGAGCTCCCTGCCAGGTTTCCGTGCAGCTTGGCTGTAAACCTCCATCAGAAGCCTCAGCTCCTTGCAGATGGCCCTTCTCCATCTAGGCCCCTTCCTAGTTCTGAAAACTGCTCTCAACCCTGGCCTCAACAGGCTACCAGCTAATGTCTTTCTTAGGGAATTACACTATTTCTTGTTGGCTTCCTTAAACTCTTTCCACACCTGTTATGGTTTGAATGTTTGTGTCCGCTCCAAGATTCATGTTGAAACTTAATCTCCCATGAGATGGTATTAAGACGTGGGCCTTTAGGAGGTGAGGAATGGGAGTAAGGCCCTCATAAAAGAGCTTTACACAGGTGTAGGTCCCATTTTTGCCCTTCTACCTTCTGTCTTGTGAACATGACATGGCATTTGTCCCCTCTGGAGAACACAGCACCGAGGTGTCATTTGGGAAGCAGGGAGAGCCAGACCTTATCAGACACTAACCCTGCTGGTGCCCTGATCTTGGACTTCCTAGTCACCAGCACTCTGAGACATAAATTTATGTTCTTTACAAATTACCTAGTCTGTGGTATTTTGTTATAGTAGCTCACATAGACGAAGACAACGCCTTAAAAAAAAAAAAATCCGTCTCTAATTAGACTCTTCTCTGTTACCAGTTTGAGTGTGCCGTGTGCTTTCTACTGGGATTCTGACCTATTTACCTTCCTTCCCCCTTCCGTCCCTTCCAACCCCAGCCAGCAGCAGAATGGAGTCTGGGAATTTAGATGAGATCATTTACGGAGAGAAAAATAAAGCCAGCTTTTGGTATGTCTCAGTTGTGTGTAAATTTTAGACCATGTAATAAAACAAATTCAGAAACAATAATATTTTGGTTTCTAAAATTAAAACACCTTGTTTAACACATTTTTATTCCTGATTTCTCCAACAGGTTTTCCACAGAGAGGTAGAGGTGCTTAGGCCAATGTCCACTAGAACCTGAAGGAAGCGTGAGGTTTCTTCTCCCCTTTGGTTCCCAAAGTTCCCTTGCTCCTTTCTGCATTTGCTTTTTCCTCCCTGCCGCTTC